AACTACTGACAGCAAATTTCCATTTCAAAAAGGAGTTGTGTTTTTTTTCCTTTTACCAGACAACTGCAACTTTCTTTGCTCCAAACCATTAGTGCTGTAAAACGTACACTCCTCAGGTCTGATCAATGGTGCTATCAGTTGATTCTTCTCACCAGAGGCAAGCCTTGAGTCCTGCGCCCCCCAGCCCCTGACCGATCGGGGTGCTGTGCTGTTCCATGGAGATGATGGTTTGGGGTTGGTCAGGCCAGGAGGCGGGCGGGGCAGCCCTGTAGTGTTCCTTGAGGAAATATGGTTTTTCCACATCTTGTTGGAGAGATGAGTGGGATTGTGTCCTATGGGATCTGGGGACCATGTTGATTTGTAATCACTGAATTTTGCTAGAAGATTAAAAAAATTGTACATATTAGAGAAACTTATGAGATTCAACTAGACTTTAACTGTACCATCACTGTAAACCTTTTGACTGCATTTATACCGGAGACAAGCACAAAGCACAGAACTGTACAACAGTTAATCTACCATACCAAAAAAAGCCATGCTACATGTAAGTTAGTCTTCGCTTATTTTACATATGCTGTCCCAAAAAAATCCCCCAAACCTAGACCATTTATGATAATGTAATAGGTTGCAGCATGTTCAATCATTAATAAGATGAACAGCAACTTTTATGTCTGCACTACACTTCATTTGAGAACCTGAGAATTTCTTACAGGTTTGGGCACTACCGACCTTTAATAAAACCGAACCTTCTTCAGTCCAAAAAGTTGCAGAGAACTGAAATGAGTGTTTACTACTCTTGGTCTACTAAGCTAATGCTACCTCCTAAAGATGTCCTCCTATAAGATCAAAGCTTTCTCATGAATCACGAATTTCATACAGAGTTGACACAACAGTAACACATGAAGATGGTCATTTAGCTGTGCGACAGCTGGACTTCTAAACAATCTGGATAGTGCACATTCATTTTTCTTACTAGAAAGAATTGCCAAATGCCTATTAGGAGAATTTAAGACCAATAGTTGATATCTAACACATTCCAAGAACCCTTTATATAGAAGTCCAATAAAAAAGAAAAATGAACACACTCCCCAAAACATCACTATTGGTCATGAATATTTGGTAGTTCTTCTTAAACTAGTTTTTCTTAAGAAGGCAGACTGCAAATTCTCCCACACATTCTGACACCAAAGGACATTTATCACCCAGCAAAAAAACAACCCAAAAGTCAAAACTGCTTGAGTAATTTCTTTTTCCCTTGTTCTATAATGAGAATCAGCAAACACCAGGACAATTTTGGGGAAAAGGCACTTGTGTCAGAATTATCTTAATCAGAACTCACGTGTGCGCGCACGCAAATAGATGTATTAAGCTCTATTCACTAACAAAAGGTAGTAAACTACTTATTTGAAACCAAGGGTTAAAATCTAGGCTTACAATATGCCAGGGTGTCACAAAATAGTGTGAGAATCAAGACTATAAACCTTTCAGCAAGTAAAAATGTGCTTCACCTTACAGTTGGATCACTGTATTTCCACAACAGAGTAAATGTCAATAGCAAGCAGGTTTCAAGCACTAATCTGTGAAAGTACTCAAAAACCTGCTTTCACTAGACTCAGTTTGTTTTACAGATATGTGAATTCTAAATCCCTAATTCAGATGACCTGCCTTCTGGCTGTAAAAGCTAGTGTGTAGTTTAACAAGATGAGCACAAGATGGTACATGTGCCAGGCAGTGGTCTAGTTTCCTCAATTCAAGTATGACTTCACTAATTTTTTTATCTCTTGGGTCCGTCTTACGTGCTAGCCAAAAATCAAGAAGAGGTAAGAAGCTGATACATGCCACTCCTTTCCACAGGCTATGAAAGAAAACTTCTATGTCATTGTAATGCTGCATACACCAATATTGCTTCAAACCAAAGTCACCTCACAAACTGACAGCAGGAACAGTTTCTCTCAAGGGCTAAATAGGATTTTGAACATATTTTGTTAAGATGCTGAGATAACATACAAACACAGCTTTTATTGAGTAAGATGCAAACAACAAAGTTTGGGCCAGATGCAGCTCTCAGCTATGTTCATCACTTCTGCTGTTTACACACAATTCTTCAGGTTTTAGTTGTCAAGACAATTATGTCTCAAGAGAAAACTCTGACAGTTGTAAGAAGTTCAAAAATCCAAATGGTTTGTCTGGAGCAAGAATTTTCAGCATCCTACTCAAAAGTGTGTGCAGAAACCATTTTTCACGAGAAACCTTTGGAAACCTTCTTACCAAGGTTCTGAGGCAGATATCCAAATTACTATTTACAGGCCAATCATTAAAAGCCAGAGGACTAAAAGCCCTCCCCTCAGGATTCACAGAATATAAAAGGTGCTATAAAAGGCAAGGCAAAAACGTTCCCTTCACAGCACTCCTATGTTCTAAAGTTAAAATGAATAAAATCACTCATCTTATTACTCTAACTCATACATATAGGAGCAGGTATGTTTAAAAAAGTTATGACAGTCCCTCAACCCTTCACACATGGTCAACAGATTGTGCACATGTGGGTCTACTTTTTTTCTTTTGCATCTGCTGCTCACTGCTACCCTATTCTTTAACTTGCATAAGTAAGAATTTTGTACTGGGGGTGGGAGGAAAGGCAGAGGATCTTAGTCTAGTTCTTAAAGCAACCGCAATCGAGTATTTTATCATCGGGAGGAAAAATACCTGACCAGCCACTCAAATTCAGAGTTCCTCAGAAACTACTGGAAAACTAAATATTCAAAGTAGAGCAAGAATGAGGAACTAGTGAACAACTGGAAAATGCTTTTTCCAGGTAAGTTTTGGAGCCCACATACCTGAAGTGCTATGAACGTTGGTGAAGGAATTGTCAGAGGCACTGTAGGGCCAGGCACCAGGTGAAGGCAGCGAGGTGTTGAGGGAAGAATTAGACCCTATCAAAAGGAAAAGGAGAGAGAAAGAGTAGGCCAACTTCATAGACCTTCTGTAACACTGTTAAAACTCAAGACAGCCACTATTTGTACCAATGCCAAGCTTTCACATGATACACAGCCACAGTGTAAAGGCACAGAGGCTTCCTTCTTAGCCAAACGCAATGGACTGTTACCCTGTTATGACAGGATCATCAGAATATTCTCTAATATCAGAATGGTTTAATCACATACCAGTTGTTCACTGTTTTACCTGTGGTGTTGTCCCGCAGAAGTTGGTGATCAGTATCTACAATGGGAGATGTGGCTGTCCCCCCCAGCACACTTCCAGGGGTCACATAGGGGTCAGATTCAGGGTCAATGTTTTGTATACCTTTCCATGGCACTCCTGGTTGGAACTCTGGGACAGGAGGGAAAAAGGAGTTAGATGCAAACAGGGAAATGCCATTTACTGGAAGTAATTGTTGAAGATATTTTAGGAGGGTAAATAATTTTCTTCTACACTGTTACTCAGAAAAAACCCAGACTTAATTAAAAACTACTTCACATTTCCTCCCACAGCAGTATCACCAGTGTCTGAATACAGGTCTACACTACAAAAAGGTGGTGCAAGTGCACACAGTACTCCTGTGACTATTCCTGTTCTACTACATTCAGATGAGGCTTCAACAGTTTTATCCTTCCTTAATACATTATATATTTTTTAAGATATATGAGATTAGATTAATCTGTACACATACTTTGTTGTGTGTGCAGAAAACTTTCTCAAGGAAAGGCTACCTACCTTCAGGGTTTGTAAACATAACATTTGACACTTCACACTGTCGGTACACACACTTTATACATTAGCAATCAATACTGAGGTAATGCTAAGGTGAGATGCCTTGTGGTAAAAACAACGTATATACTCATTGGCATTCTTCATGCTTCACAATGAGATGGAATATACTTATCATGCTTTAGTTTCCTTTCAACTATAACTCTGGGCATGCCAGATTTTTAAGGCAAGAGGATGAGTTATATGAAGTCTGAACACACAAAACCTCCAGATACTGTAAGAAAGATCAGTAACTTGTTTCGTTCTCTGAGTAGATGTTCAATGAATAAAGTGCTGTGGTCAATTCCTGAAGCAGTGATAAAGTAAAACTGCCAAACAAAAAAACAAGTAAAGAAGCTTCAGATACTATGTGACAATTTTGGTAAGGGTGAAAAGAGTGCCAAGGTGGCAGATTCATCCCTTGCAGATACAAGTCCAGGATATGGAATGATACCTTTATTCACAACCTGAAGTCTTGAAATAATTAATGACAGAATATTTGAGTGTAACTAAAAGTCCATGATTAAAAGTGGGATCCAGGATGTGGTCTCTGGAATGAAACGATGTAGGGTGAATCTGGGATGGAAGAGTTCATTTCAGTTACCTTTATAACGAAGAAGCATAGTCAAGACTATGAATTTCACAGACAAATACAGAAGAAAATGTGACAGTACTGGTTCAGACAATAGGCAGAGCAAGGACAGTATTAGACTGTGATAATGCACTGGCAGAAGAATCTCAGAGAATACGTAAGAAACGCTCCACTGGGTCAGAACTGTGGTCCATCTAGCCCAGTATTCTGCTAACAATGGCAGGAGAGATATCATTTGGGGACAGAACACAAACCTGGCCACTATCTGTAGGCTACTGCCCTCACGTTCTCCCAGCATCCATAGTCCTTCTTCTACCTAGGATGTCAGAAATACCCTCTTATCTGCTAGCACCTCCTTGTGAAACTGTTTTTCCATCAGTTTATCCAATCACTGTTTCAACTGGCTAGGACGATCTGTCTCCAGAAGCCAGGCCACACATGCCAGAAGTTCACCATTCCCAATGGGAAAAAAAAAGCAGCTCTTCTCTATTTAAAATTTGCGTCCTCTTAAGTCCAGCATTTGCACCATGGTTCTAGTGTTGCAGGATTCGCAGAATTACAATTCTGCATTTATCTTGTTCACTGCAAGATATGCTGTATGAGCAATCAGCACAGCATCAAGCAAGGAATCTGCTCAGCTACTGCCAAAATACTGCAATCCTCTGACAAACAGGACCAGCTTATGCTTATGGAGCAAGCAATGCAGCTCTTGGGTCTAATCAAAAGATGTTCTCTGTTCTGAGATAAAGAATTCAGGAACACAGGTAAGGACTTAGATATTAGACCTTGTTTTCAAAAAAAAAAAAGTCCAAGTCTTGCCTTTGTAAAGATTTCTGACAACTGATGGGACTGAAAATTAAGCACATAGTAAGCTCTCAACAAAGAGTTAAGAAATATTCAAACAAAGCTCCAAAGATCAGGCAGTGTATATAAAGACAACCACGCTTCAATATAATCCTGGTCTGGAGAAGAGTTTTTCTTGAACTTCAGCATACCGACAAGTTTCCAAATTATCCTTTGGGATTGACAGTTATTCTCATGCACATTCACCAACTCTCCCTACAGACATGCTTTTTCATTTCTATAGTAAAGAAAAATGAAGTGCGTTTCTCCACTGATATTTGAAAGATCCTCCCAAAAAGTTCAAACATAAGACTAATAGGGAAACCACGACAGACACATCCAGGCCAATTTGCCTAGAGTATATGACTGACTGCTCTTGAATGGGAAAATTACAGTCTAGTATTACCTAGGTATGCAAGTCTGCGTGACATAACCAAAAGATACAGTTCTCACCAATGCAGCAAAACTTGCTCTCACCTCCAGCTGTGATATCAGTTTGATTGGGCACCACTTCATTTATCTTTGTGCTGAACAATACTGCTCTCTTGAACGGCAGAATTTCTGCAGCAGATGGCATTTAGGAGGAAAACGCGAAAGGTGTAGTCAGGGTGAATGCTGAGTGACCACTGTATTCATTCAAAGGAAAAACGGACCTATTTCAAGAGGTTTTCTCTTGTAAACTCATTTTCGTTTAACAACTTATTTTCCAACACTTGGAAGAAAAATTTTATCTCCACGCCAGGAACTGATAGCAGGCCTCATCTACAAGCTTGCAGAGAAAAAGAACCTACAGTGTAAAATCATTTTGGGTCTTTATTCTTCATCAGAGGTGTTGATAAGGTGGATCATGATTTCAGCTAAGTTCTCGTTCCTGAGGAAGCCAATAAGCCAGAGAAGCTACGAGAGCTTAAGTAGCTGATGGTTAGGGGACAGTAACACTTATCTCAACAGTCTACTGACATCATAAAAGAGGGCTAGCAATACAGCAATAATTGCATAAAAGCCACATGCCAAAACCCATGATCAGTTACACGACACCTGCAATCACAACCGTGGGCTACTCCATTTACACAAGAAATTGGGATGGTACTAATGATCCCTGTGAGAGTTTATGTTCATGATTTGTGAACTCCAGCTATCCTCTCACGGTGGTGAGGCAGCCAGCAACAGCAAAAATTTTACTTATCACTGACAGTGGGATTGCAGTATCACTGAGGAAGCTCTATGATACCAACAAGGGGCAAAGAGCAGCTATTCAGCTTCTCACTTCTGTAACAGCCTTCTGGTACCAAGAACCTTGCCAGAGCCAGTGGCTGCTGCAAAATCTGGAAACACAGCAGAGCTGATCCTCACATCCCTCTCATTCCAAGCAGTATTGTATTTCTCAGTATTACATAGGGGAACGGTGACTAAAGAAAAAAGTTCAGCAACAATGAGTCTACGAGAGAGGTCCTGAAAAAATAGTACATTTTGGAGGGTTCCGGCATTATGAACAGTAACTCCAGCTCAAGCTCAGTACTTAAAAACAGGCTGGCAGAGATATAATGCAAATACACCCCTACAGAGAGCAGTCAGTGGTATGAAATGTTGTGGGTGTGCGGATGTTCTTGAGATAACTAATTCTTTATCTCTGTTAGCTCGTCATAAAACATTTTCTTGCCAGAGTCAGACACTGAGGGGTTCCCACATAAAAAGCTTTAACAGCTTTTTGTAGGTTTCCTGCAGTTGTATCTGTCACACAGAATTCTAGGCTTTCTGAGACAAGGTCTGTGCTACTGGTTTACCCAAGAGATGTACCTGCACCTTTACTTTTTTGTGCTTGAGGGGATACATAGCGGAGTATTTGCAGTCAGTAACGTTTTCCTGGAATGTAAATTCGAGGCAGAGAAAAATCACAGCGTCCACTATTTGCTAACGGCACTGACTGGCGATTAATCTGCAACTTCAAGGACACCACTCTGCATTTAACGAATGTTTTCTATAAAAAATTATGTGCATGTTCAAATACCTATGTATTTTTCCTAGATACTCAAGTTTTCTAGCAGGAAGATAAAATTCTGCCAGTGAAACTCTAGAAGACAAAAAGAATGTGCTACTGCCTGTAATACAAAAAGCAAGAAACTTCTACTCAAGCCACAAGATTGCTGAGCAGTACTGAAACATGGCAACGCTCTTCTATTCTTTACACGACATGATCAGAGGTGAACCACAACAGCACAGCACACACATTGTGTACATATTGCACCAATGCTGCTGGCAAAAGCAACCTTGTGGTCCACAATGGGTCATATTTGTAAATGACTGCCAGAAGAAAAGTTCATGCTAGATAAAATACAAAAGATCAAGACAAGAAAATCTTGTTCCCGCTGTCACAAAAAAACCCAGCTTTCACATCTTTTGTTTTCTGATTCCACACTATCAATCAGAATTTTTACACCCCATGTCAGCCTAACACAACACAAATAAGGAATCGATACAAGAGGAGGCAGCTGGTGGTGTGTTTCATGAACAAGTTATTTCATGAACAAGTGTTCTCATGAAAATTTCTGTGATTGTAAAACCACAAAATACAGAAGAGCTGACCTAACAAAAACCAAACACTATTCAGGCGATTCAGAGCTCATATTTAGCCCAGCAATTTTTTACTGGAAATTCAACATTTATGTTCTAATTTAACGCGGAAGAAAATTTAAAAAACAAGATAGGCCAAACAAGTATTTTCCTTGCAGTGGTTATTTAAAAAGTATGATGAGGAAAGGTGCCAGCACATCTACTCTAAAGGTAGGAGATAACCCCTGCCCTTATGTAATACCTGGAGGCCAGCTGGCGTTGCTGGATTTGCTTCCGATCTTGTTCGTTGGTGGAGATTTGGCAGGTAACCAACTATCACCAGCAGGGCCTGCATGGCCACCTAGTGGGTCGCCCTGAATTATGTCAAACTGGTTGTAGGGCGATCCTCCACGAGCCTTTCCAGGGGGCACTATTGCACCTGAAGCATTAAAAAAAAAATATTTACATTCAAGAAAGGTTGATACCTTTATAAGTATGGTATACTAAAGCAAAAAAAATATTTAAGATGCATACTGGTGACATTCACTAACTTGAAGCACAGTTTTCATCTGAGCTATTTCACCTCTGGCAAGATGACACTATAAGGACACTCCTGAAATAGCCAGTCCCCTTCTTACCATTTTTGTGGATATTGGCATCTTGTGAAGCCACAGAGGGCAGCCCTTCCATCATAGTCCACTGCTTAAAGCGGGATTCTGTTCCAGCCTCTTTTGCTCCCACCATGCCATAATCCATGCCACTTGAGCCAAAGCCTGCAAAACAAACAAACAAAACTCCATTGCCATTCTCTCTTTTTAGTTTGGATGTCTTCAAACAGGGAGTCACTGCGATAAGAAAAGTAAAAAAAAGCAAAACTAGCCAATTAAATATACAAGAGACAACTTCCAAATAATCTTGTTAGGTCAGTACACCACCAAGATATGCTTTGTTTTCAGTTTAGTCTTCTGCTCATGTAATGAAACATAACGCAAATTGATCAAGAGTTGACCCTTGTCATAACCGTTGCTTACACATAAATTACTCATTTCTGGACCCAGACATAACTGGCTACTGTGGCAACGCAATTACCGTGTTAACATGGTAACCACAGGCAATGCATCAAATCTCTTTCCACAGAGCACTTACCTGAACCGTATCCAGGTATTTGCCCTTTGGTCTGTAAATCTGAGAGACCCACATTCAAAGGATTGGGTACCATGCTGTCTAAATGTGGCTTAGGCCCAACAGGGTGGGACGGTGAATGCTTCATGCCAGGCTGCCTCTGCTGCTGCTGCAGGGCAGCACTCACCATACGAGCAATCTGTAAATGAAAGAAAAAAAATGGGGATGATATATCCTGTACTGTAACACAGAATTCCAGTAAACATGAAGAAATAGTGACTTGAAAGAGATCCAGAGGACCTTGCTCTCCACGAAGTGAAATCTGAAGAGAGTGCAAACTGAAAAGAGCAGATGACAATACTAAAGCCAGTGCCATCGTTGCTGCAGACTGGATTTTCCCAGCGCACACTATAGCTCATATGATTGACAAAAACAGTGCCACACCTGTTGCTCCTGCTGTTGTCGCACAGCTTGAGATAACTTCCTCTGGCTCTGTAACAGCTGCTGCTGCTGCTGCTGCTGCTGAAGGAGGAGCTGACATGCCTACAAGGTAAGTGGGGGTGGGAAGAGTGAAAATACAGAGCTCATGAAGTGATATATAATTGCTAGGAGCTAGTCACTCGCAAATGCTTTGCTCAGAACTTAGGTAAACTGTTTCTCATTCCACACACTCAAATAAAATGACAACGAATGCATTAGAAGAATACTATATCCTTCACTTGTTTCTAATTTAACATCATGTAACCGTATTACTAGTACCTGCTTTATCACCATCACTATGACTACGAGTCTGAAGAAAACTTCGTTAAAAATCAACTAACAACTGCTTTCTGTACCAAGACATGGCTTAGAATCACTACTAACCCACTGCAACTTTCATAACAATTACACTGCTGCCCTCTAACAGGGCTGTATTTTCCTGTACAACGAACAGGGAATACTTGTACAAAAATAACACAAGATCAGTAGAACAAAACAGAATTAGAACAAACATAAAAAGAAAACTCTTTCAGCAGACAATTTGTATACAGTCTGTTTCACAAGATTACTAGCTAGCTACTTACTAATTGAAACTGGGGAATCTGTGGAAGCTGGCTCAGCATGGCAATCTGTTGTGGAGAAAGCTGGGGGCCCATATTGAAAAGACCAGGATTCAAGCCACTGTTGGGAAACTGTTTGAGCATGGAGGCCGAAACCTGCATGGAAACCAGTTACATATCCTCAAGAAATGCACTGCTATAAGAAAAGATGATGAAGCAGAAGTATTTCTACAAAGGAATAGGTATGACACCAATCTTAAATGGCATTCTGGGAAAGACGTTACAAGATTTATTAACACATCACATTTAAACATGCACCATCTATGACTTGAGCAGAGTGAATACCTCACTTGATTGACAATATACAGTATTACATGTGCAGATACAGACACACACACAAAGGTTCCTCTCCCCCAACCAACCGGTTGCTAGAGACTGCGCTAAATTAAAATGCTGACATATAGGCAGCTAACCAGTAATCACAGTACTGCATTATCACATTAAAAACTTACTGCTTGACAAGGAAAAAGAAAGGCATTCAGGCAGTCACTGGAGCAAAGAAACAGTGCCTCACAGAAAGAGTTAATCTCTTTGTATGCTGAATAAGCTATAGTAAAAGACAGGAGTAGGCGGAGAGGAATCCCCCCATTTCTCCCTGCATTATTTGAAAGTTGCACCAGTAGAATTCAAGACAATCTCCAAAAGTCTTCACCAAGTCCAAAGCAAAAGGTAAACGTGCATTTGGAGACCCTGACATCTTAGAGCTCTGCAATGTAAATGCAATTTGCAGCCCTTTATCAGGCCTCTCTTTCAGGGGGGTAGGAAGCACAGGACAAGACTGCTCAAAAAAAAATAAGCAACCTGTCACACTTCAGAAAAACTTTCAGCTTTCACTTTTTTGTCGTTATTAAAATACTTCGCAAAAGCCTATGTAAAACACCGGATTCCTGAATCCACTTTGAGGTTTAAAAATACTGGTAGCGAGCATTTACCACCAACTGCCTTGGAATAAGAAAGAAGGCTAAACCTTCTGCGCTGAATTTTAAGCACTTTCAACTATGAATTTTATTTTTTTATCTTATCTAAGTTTTCAGTTTCTTAACATCAAGTCAAGACTAAGATAGGTGTGTAAGTAACCTCAGTGATGTGCTCTGAAGGCTGCAGCTCTGCTTTTACAAGTAACCAGTTACTGTAAATTCCTTACCTGGGGAGAAAGAAATTGGGGAGGCACTTGCGCCCGGATATTGGGGGAAGGATTTAGTGGCTGCACTGGTGTGTGCATGCCCCTCGATTGTGCTGTGCTGTTTCCAAACAAACCATGATTGCCACCCTACAAAATTAAAGCAGTAGTGAGAAGATGAATCTTTCAGGATAATGGTTTTCTATGCTATTAGCTATGTATCAATAACAAGTACTGACTTAAACAGAGTACCCTTAGAATTACTGAGATGTTTGCCCTAAATCAGTAATCTACCTGGGTTAAAACTGCTGTACTACATTTTTGAGATGCAGGCTCTTTCTCCTCTACATTGAAGAGTCATGTTTATCCACTTAATTCCAAAGCACACGAAAAAGCTAATGTTTCATATTTTGCGTTTTACATGTTGAGAAATGGAAACTTGGAGTACAAATAACACGCTCAAAAAAATTCCACTGGCTTAAAAGTATGGCAAGACTGTGTCAACAAGAGTTTTAGGCCATCAATTTAGAAAAGTCAGGTATTTTTCCTGCATAGACTGTTGAGGTATCACTCATAAGCCTATTGCTTCCTCTGCAGGCCTTTCACTAACTGAAACATTCTAAAACTTTGTTAAAAATTTTCCTTCTGATGTGACAACATCATTCTGGATTGGGATGTTTTTCTTTTCCTTTTTTTTCCCCACTAAATTGAAGAGCAAAAAATTTTCAAGTGAGAAAAAAAATCTGGGTTGTTTTTCTCTTCTCTCAGTGATTTATTTTCTAACACAAGAATACTTGCTGTTTGAGGTTTTTTTAATGAGAAGTATTTACTGTTTTATAAGCAACTCCTGTAATAATAAACCCTACTGCACGAAAAGACCAAAGAAAATCTGTGATTATGTTTCACTATTTCAGCCTCTGAGCAGACTGTCTTTATTAGTAACATCTTTCAACAAAAGCCACAGGAAATGTTATGGACAGTCTCCTACACTAACAGCTGCATGCTGTTGCTTCTAAAAACTGAAGCTCGTACTCCAAAAGGTCCTTATGTACCATGATTCTGTCCTTTCATGTTCGAGACCCTCTGAACTTCCCATCTTCTGCTATGTATCGGGATGTCTACAACCCTCAGATACGTGGGGTTCTAAACAGTACCTTCTCCATCCCTAAGGCATCATTCTCTGTTCTCCCTCTTCATGCCAGCAGCACTGCTGTACTGAACAAATTCATCATTCTTCCAAACTGAGATCGTACAGGCCTTCTCCAAAACCTTTCCTTCCCTTATATACTGGGATTTCATAAACTCTGCCTCCCTTCTACCATAATACCGTGCATCCTTCGCCATCCTTTCGCTAAAACAGAAGTCTCTCATCCTGCTTCTCTACTGGCAGCATTATGGATTGCCCCATTCACCTGCATCACATTTCATTTCCTCAGTGTATCTTCTATTTCAGAAGCAACTCATGATGTCAGACAGGAGGATAAACAAACAACCCCAAGAGACAAAAGAGTTTTTATTCTGGAAATAACTGACTGGGGTCAACTACACATTTAAAATTTTTGAGAGGCCTGAAGCTGCAGCTACACTTTCAGCCCTCCCTAAAAGCTCAGAGTTCTGCACGCTGAAGCCAAGAATATGCCTGCAAATTTTGTACTTAGTCTGATGTTCAACACTGATTGTGTCACATAGAAACAGAGAGACAACACAAAGAAACACCATCATGTTAGGCATGTGACTACATAAGCTAGTCCAGTTGCAATACTTAGGTTCTATTCTTTAATTTCCTAGTATTCCTGCAACATTTTCTTCCAGCATAATGCAAGACCTAAATAGCCAGAAATTCTTTCAAACTGCAGTTAGCCTCTTCCATTTCTTCCCCACCACTCCCCTGTATACCGACCAAAAATGCTGCTACTTCAAGAGTTTTTAAAGGCTGCTAAATCAACCCCTTCTTTGGACTGTGGGGAGGGGAGAAGGGAACAGGCACAAGGCAAAATGACTGCAACTTTTTAAAGGCACATTTCTACATATAAGGTCGTAGGGTGAAGTCTGGAAAAATTCAGTGTCAGGTGGTGATGGGGCAAATCAACAGCCAGCCTCTAACTGGGTTTTAAAACAGCAATTAAAATATAAAGGTTGCCACTAACTTCATGACTTCTGAAAAGCACATCTATCTGCTGTTGCACTGTGATTCAGGAAGTAAGAGGCCAACAAAATCAGATGAAATACATTTTGATGACAGGAACCAAAGTGGATTGATTCTCAATGGCCTGATACAGTTCAAATTTCCATTAACAATATTAATTTATTTAGTAGGAAAACAAATGCAAGCAACCAACTAACCAGGATTAAGCCCAGGTTGCAGCCTTATAACAATGCATCTTATAAGGTGGCCTGCTTACTTGTCTAGCAGCGAAGTTTTGGGGACTGAGCCCTGAGCCGATTGCCCCAAGGCCGACGTTGGATAGTGTGGAACCAGAGGGAGACAGCTTGTAGCTGGGAGAAGGGGAGAAGGGAGAGCAGGGAGCCTCATCCCCAAGGCACCCATCTTGATTGGAGAAAGGCAAAGTCAGCTGAAGCAGCAGTTAGCCAACAGCAGGAGTTGGTTAGTGAAGCAACAGAACGCAAGAGGAGAGAAAGAGGGACGGTGAGTGACTAGGAAGAAGCAAAGTTAATTTGTAATAGCAATTACAAGGACAAAACTTCTGACTCAAGTGATCACTTGACAATTAGGATTTTTGGTCCAAGGACATAACCAATAAATTCCTAAAGGTTTCTTTTTAAAAATACAGTTTGAACTCTCATTAGTTTTGTTTCTGACAGTGGCTATTACCACTACAGAACAAACCAATCCTGAGTGAATTCCTAATGTTAGCACACACCTACAAACATGATTTTTGAGAAACGCACTAGCTCTGCTCAAACATGATTTTTGAGAAACGCACTAGCTCTGCTAGTGGTATTTATTAATTAGGCCACCAGAGGGAGCTGACAAAACTCTTTTCTGGCCTGGTATACCAAAATGGAGGAGTTAAAAAGAATTCATTGACAGAAACACACCTTCAGAATTTTTAAATCAAATTTCTTTTCCGTTTTACATGTGATAAACTTACACTGTATTAAAAAAACCCTAAAGCATTCTGAATCTATTGGACACTCTCCAATTCATATTGCGAAGCAATTAATATTTGATAACAACAGTGAAAGCTTCTATTTAAAATAGGCAAGAATATGAAAGAAACACTACCATAACATACAACAGATGTCACAGAGAAACAGATGTCATACAGAAGCTTACAGTACATGGACATACAGCATAAGGGGTTGCAGAATTTAGAAAGGGTGTTTCCAATAAACGACAGACATGAAAGCAGAAAAAATTCGGAAGACTGTGATTACTTATGTTTACTTAGATCTAAACCAATTTTTTACACTAGATGATTGTAGTCAGTAGCCAAAAGAATCATTGTGATGAAACCTATAATGAATTTCACTGCTACCAGTAGTTTACCCTTCCAAGGAAAACAAAGGAATTTCTTTCTGTCCATATTAAGAGCAGTCTGTTCTAGAATAAAAAGCCTCATTCTCCCCAGATAATTTAGTTTGTCTATGCATATCTGACACCTCTGTTTTATATACACATTCATTCTACAAACATAACTCCCCCACACCTTTTATTACTGAGTTCGTCCAAGGTCACTGAATTTTTAGCACTTCCAGAAGAGTAGGGTAAAAACTAGGACCTTGAACACAGAGGCTGGTATTAATTTATCTGAAGATATTTCTCTCACCTTCTCAAAATAAGGCCCGCTATCTGTGGTTCCCATGTCTTTGGAATTAGGTGGACGGAACCCAGATCGATCCTTTCTCATCATGTCATTAAAATCCCCGAGATTCATGGCTCGTTTATCTACCTCAAACTTCTTATCTGGGAGACCACCTGTAAAAAAAGAAGAAAGAAGATAAAATTAGTGCAAATAATTGCTACCATGTTTCATGATATCAGGTTCACAGCCAAAGAAAGTATCTTTAAGATCAGGGTATAAATTAGATCTGTCCTGCAATTCAGCATAAGTATAGTTGCTATTATAAGTGTTGAAAAATTAAGGTAGGAAGTTTCATTTTTAAAACTGAACAAGCCAGTCTAGAGAGTTAATTCGAAATATTTCTCACAATTTATGTACAGATAGAAACACAGGCATTTCTACAGTAGCCTAGTTCAACTAATGATGTTCATTTATACATAATTCTCAGTGTCTTCCAAAACTCACACTGTTATTTATTGGTATTCAGCATCTATAGAGACACCACTATCTAAGTTCTCCATATACTCTACTTAGCCTTTACTGGGCATTGAGAAAGAATGTCTCAAACTGCAAAACCAGGCACATAATTGGGTCACGACTTTCCTACAGTCATGTGAACTTAACTCTTGAACACCATAAATCATCTGGTATAGCGTAACTTCCAGATGGGCAACCAATCTCCCTCAGCCTGTAACAATCACGCAACCAGAAACATTTTTCAAACACCCCCTACAGTCTCCTGCCACTGTTTAGCGAGTAATCTGGTGGAACATGAGGAAGAGATGTTAATAACAGATGATCAAACTACAATATACTCAGTGAACAAGACATCGTCTTTTTCTACAAGCTTATCATCAGCC